CGATCAAAGCTGATGATCACGGTGCTGGGCAAGGGCGAGCAGTGCAAGGACCAGAGCAAGCATCAGTGCCTCAAGATTGGGTGAGTCACAACTTCATTTGTAAAGTCTATTTAATTAAATGTCAATCTCTTGTCAGCGATGAGCCCATCTTGTGCATCTCCAAGGAGCTGGCCTGCGATGGCATACGCCATTGTCCCTACAGCAACGAGTACGACAGCGACGAGGACTACGAGCTCTGCTATAAGCAGCGACGTCCTGGCGCCGGTGCGCTGCCCTCCGCGCTCGAATCCGATCTGTTCGAGCAGTTCGCCTTGGAGGTGTTTCGCAATCTGTTCGCCTACGATGCGCCCACATCGCCTGAGGATCTGCCGCGCAACGACAGCGCCGGTGACCCAGCAGCAGCTGCGGCTGGCAACAACTCGACAACGCAGCTGCGCAAAGTGCACACCAAAGACATGAAGAAACCGGGCGAAGCGAATGGTTCGCCCAATGCCATTGGCGCGGACTCCTCCATGCCAGAGCTGGATGCAAAGGCGCAGGATAATGCCACCGTGGAGAACAACAATGGCAGCGGCAGCGGAGCTGGCAGCGGCTTTACGCGTCGCAACTCGACGCGCACGGGCCTCCACTCGGATCTGTCCAAGTACGGGCCGTGGGGCTATCTAATGCTCGGCATGCTGCTTTGCGGCGGCGCTCTGCTCATCTGCGGCCTCTGGGGTACGTTCAATTGCACACTTTTGTAGTCCAAGCAACACATAGACATTTATATTTATGTGAGTTTTTTGTTTTCGTTCATGCTCGTGTTTTCGTTTGCTTTTTTTTTTTGTTGTTTTTGTTATGTTTTTTTTTGTTTTGTTTCTGTATTCTTACTTTGCGCATGCCATTCAACTATGTAACTGTATCCGCATCTATGTCTATGTCTAACTTTCGCAAACTCTCGCCATTAACTGATGCGTCCTCCCGTACCCCCGTCCCCCCATCCGCCTGTCATCTGCCAACAGTTTCCTGTTGTCGCTTGAGCTCTCACATTCAATCCATACGTACACTTGCAGCATCCGCATCGCAGCACGCCGTCAACAATGAGCGCGAGGCAGCGCTGGCCGCCGCCAATGGCGCTGGCTTGGATCCCACCACAGCCACATCGCCGCCCAACTACGAGGAGCTGGATCCGCCGCCGGCCTACTCGGTGCTCTTTCCCAATCAGAAGGCCGCCAGCAGCAATACGCTCAATGCGCTCGATGGCGCCGTGGCCAGCACAACAGCAGCAGCAGCAGCTGCTGCGGCTGCAGCAGCAACAGCAGCAATAGCAGCAGCAGCAGCAACAACAACACCTGCAATAGCAACAACTGCAGCAGCAGCAGAACAACAACAAGCCCAACAGCAAACAGGAGACGAGCCAACAAACTAGCTCTAAGCCTGACAATTAGGTCGCCACAACATGGCGCATCTGGCAAAGTAGTTTAGGTTTAGGTTCCAACTTCTTTGACTGACTCTGATGCAATTAGTTTAGCAAAACAATTTATTAGTTCTAGCTCCTAAGCCTAACTTTATGTTTAATGTTTAATGATATAACTATGTAAAACTGGTCAATTCGATCTGTCCCAAACAAAATCAGAAATAGAAAACCTCTCGTGTTCGTCGTCATGCCAAGCATGGCGACCGCACAATCCTACATTATATCCAATCCAAACGAATTGTTCAGTTGCCTGCAATGTGAAAATAAATACTTATACTATGTAATAATACTTATCCTGTGTAAAAAGCGATTGTAAAAAATGACAAATTATAACAATAACAACGACAAGTCGCATCATTTTTGTATCTTGGTTAATGTAAAATTTAATGTGATATAAATTTTAAATAAAATAATCAAAAATTAAGACCTTCCAATGTCCTAAAGTTAAAATATCGGCCATAGCGTGGTTATTCCAAAAATTTACTTTAATTAAGTCAAATAACTTAACTTTAAGCTTTACGCGACTTGTACATTTCCTTTAGAATCATGTTGAGTCCTGTCTCAAAAGACTCGTAAGGATCAGGGCCACGTCCGCCCATCGATGGTTCCCAGATGACCCACATACCCTTGGTTTTACCATACCATTGATATAGTCCTGGTGAACCGACAGCTCCTAATTTGCTCGTAAATTATCCACAAATATGAATATGCATGCGTTTCTTTCAGCTGTCTCCTAGTCCCTCTGTGATTCCTAGAAGACCCACATATCCTTGGTCATACCATACCATTGATATAGTCCTGGTGAAGCTACAGTTCCAAATCCGAGCAAAATTTGTTCGTGAATGATCCAGAAATATGAATATGTATGCGTTTTTTCAGCTGTCCCCTAGTCCCTCTGTGATTCCTAGATGACCCACATATCCTTGATATAGTCCTGGTGAAGCTACAGCTCCAAATCCCGGAAAATTCGCTTAAAAGATTTATCCGCAATTTATTTGGGGTTTAAAAATTAACGGTCGCAAAATGCCATGGCACTGGGCCCGGCCGTTGGTTCACAATTTTAAATCAAAATTCAGCTGAAATACCAGGCGAACAGCAATGAGCAGCAGGTAGATGCACAGATATTTTTTGCAAAACAGATGACTTGCAAGTTTTTTAACAGTTTACTGTTAAACAACTGTTATTTAACAGTTCTTTGTTAAGTCGCTGTTAGTTAACATACCACTGTTAACAGCCGCTGGACGGCGGCCAACGGCGGAGATATGTCGTTTCAAAACGACATATCTCCAGGCGGACGTATGACGTTTTTAGAGCGGCGGAAATTATGTCGTTTTGAAACGTCATATCTCCAGCTATGTCGTTTCGAAACGACATAACTCCGCCGTTGATCATGGCGAAATTATGTCGTTCTGCATTTTTTCTTGGGTCATCTCTTAGAATGCAGATTTTTGGGTGGCAATCGATAGTCCGGATCCGTACGAGTAGAAAGAGGTAAATCACTTCGAAATCGGACTGAATTTAGCCGAGTTATTTGCATTTTAATATTTAGTCAAATTTTGCTGCAATGTGTTATTGTGAATGGTTTATTTTTACGCGCGGCCCAAAAGTATGCTGTAGAAAATCTACTCTAATAAGCTCAAGCGAATTATGGGGACATCACAAAAGTATGCAAGGTTTCCTTTTACTTCTATGTCCACAACCATCACGCCTTTTTTTTCGAAAACTTTAAATGGCCATATCTCGGCCAAATGAAAGCCGAATTAGGCCAGAAAGGGAGAGGCTACTCGCGGAGGTCCATAGAATAGAATGCCGTCAACATAAGTACTCTTAAGTACTCCACAATAAAAGTCGGTTGGAATGTTTACATCGAATTGTAACATCATTGTTTTTATTCAGGTAAATTAAAGGGATGTGTGTGAGTTGTGTGGGAATAGCTACAAACAGCTGGAATAAGGCTCGAAGAAAGGCGGCTGAATGAAGGAGGATCAGGGGTAGAGCAGGGATAATTTTCACATATAATTTGCATTTAGTGCTAAATGAGTTTTGTTTTTTTTTGTTTTATGTTGTTGGATTTGCTTGATTTTCGTATTGTTTATTTGCTTGATTTAAGTTTTTTACGCTTTTGTCGCTCTAGATGCGTTTAATTGTTAAATGGTTTTTGCTTAGCTTTGTTTTTAGTTCCTGTTGATATATGTTAGTTGCACTCTGATATCTTTGCCGGGTTCCCTTATGGTATACATATGTATATGTATCGTATTTTTTTGTTTTGTTTGGTTTTATTTATTTAGTTGTATATTTGCTACAAATAGTTCTATGCATTTTGGGTGTGTCCATTCAGTTAGCTATTTGGGACACTACACCAAATACTCTAGACTGCATTAACATTCATTCTCAATCGTAATCGTATTCGTAATCGTAATCGTAATCGTAACTATAACAATATTATACACTAAACAAAATGAAGCATTAAGTTGACAGTCCAAAAGCAACTGAGTTTCATCAGCTTCCTTGTTGGGACTTCAATCGAGCCGGGCTGCTAGAATATTATCTGCTATTATTATAGTTAAATTGTTTTCGATTTATTTATCGTTATTTCTATGCTTTCCTTAATTGCCAATTTCAGCATTTCACGTAACTCGTTTAGCGAAAAGCAAACATATCGTTTGCATATTTTAGGTTGACTTCTATTTTACTTCCTCATCTGCAACTATTTCATTTAAATTACATACTCATAAGATTTGGGCGTTTTCATGTTCATCGACTGCATTCATTTTACATTTGTCTTAGCTCCTAACACGATCATAGAACTATACATATACATATATATACTATATATTTCAAATATAATGTTCACTAAATATTTGCTAAAGATCGTATAGTTAAATGGGTGCTCGATGTGTTTAGTGTTTGTTTGGTGCAGCAAATATTTATGTATTTGTTGTTGTTGTTCTTCTTCTTCTTGTTCTTGTTCTGTTGTTGCTGTTGGCATAGAAAAACCGCAGACTTATTGACTAATAGGCCATAGGGGTACACTTAGAATAATACACGATCGTACAGTTAGTGCTTAGAGTAGTTCAACAACAATATGTGTTTAGAAAACGATGTCTAATAAAATGTTTCTAGTATTTGTTTCTCGTTCGATTTATCGTTTTTCAAAAGTCATTAAAAATAAATTCAAATTCAAAAGTTATTGCACAATTGAACGTGCTAAAGGTGTTTGCTTTTTCTTTTTCTTTTCTTTTTTTTTTTGGTTTGCAATCGCTTAAGTTTATGCACTACAAATACGATGCTCTCGTTACTCGTTACAGCTTACTCGCTACTCGTTACTTTTTCTAGCGCCTACGATTTAGTTAATACTTAATTTATTCGCATGTAAAATTGGACGCCAAAACAATTAACAAAATTAACGCAAAGCCTTACAAATATTTGGAATAAATGTAATTAATTCTCAAGTGCGCTCAAAAGTTGTACGCAAATAAATTCATATATTAAGTGCAAATGTGTCAGTTTTCTGCCTGTCCATATGTCTGTGTGTGTATGTGGGTATGTGTGTTTGTCTGCTGTGTGTGTGTGTGTGTGTGTGTGTGTGTGTGTGTGTGTGTGTGAGAATTCAGCACATTTGTTAATGTAGTATTCGGTTTGTTTCTTCGACAATAAATAAGGCCAGTGGATACGCATACATCATAAAAGTACAATCATAATAATATTCATATACTAAGTAGTGTTCATCTTATAAACATACGATCTCTAGTGGTTGGTTTCTTCTTTTTCTTCTTGTGTTGTTGTTGTTGTTGTAAAAAGCGTACACATACGAACACCTGCCGTGTGCATGTGTTGTATTTTGTATAAGACTAAGTTCTGTCATTGCCTAGAAGCTGCAACTTATAGAGTCAAGCCTTAAAAATGTTCCACTATCGAATTTCTCTTCTCGAATATTTTTTTCTTCTTTTCGCTTGTAAGTAGGTTTTAGTTCTTTTTATTTTTAGTTATATTTTTTTCTTAACATCGGCCTTGCTTAGTTTGCTTTCAAAGTTGTTGGTATAAAAAATAGAAAAAATTTCGTGGCAATAAAAACTTTTTGTCTCAAATCATCATCAAATGTTTATCAAGATATTCTCAAATAGTTGTAGTAATAAATTCTGCTTAGCTGCTACAAGGGTATTACAGGGTATACAATATGCGTTCGCTTTCAACACTAAATACAATGTGAAACACGGATATGAATGACTTAATCTTCTATCATATATAAGTATAAGTACCATATATACATAAGTGTATATATGTATATATAGAATACGCTGCTGATTGCTTAAAAGTTGCTCGAAAAATTAGTGTTGCATACATATACCATGTATGCCTGTATGTATCTATATTAACTACATGCGGCGATTTCTCAAGCGATTTAAAAGCACATTTGTTCATATGTGTAAGTGTGTTTTGTGTGTGTATTTGTATGTGTGTATCTGCGTATGTCAAAGTCAAAGCTGAGCTGCTGGCAGCTAGTTCTTAATCCGGTTTCATGACTATTAATAACTACTCGTTACTTGTTACTCTTTACATTCAACTCGTTAGTTCTAGCTCATTACTGATTACTCGTTAGTTCTAACTCGTTACTGATTACTCGTTATTTCTAACTCGTTCCTCGATACTTGCTACTTATTTCTCGTTACTCGATACCGGTTAGTTGTAACGCGTTACTTGATACTCGTTTCCTTTCCTTTTCGTTACTTATTACCACTAGCTTGTTGCTTGTTACTTACTAGTTCTAATTCCTCAAATTTTACTCGTCAATCTAACTCGTCACTTGTTACTTGTTAATTCTAGCTCGATACTGATTGCTTGTTATTTTTAACTTGTTATGATTACTCGTTAGTTCCAACTCGGTATTTGATACTCTTTAGTTTCAGCTTGTTACTGGCTCTTCGTTTGCCCTAACGCGCTACTTTCCACTCGTTACTTCATTAGTTCTTACTCGGAGCAGGTTACTTGTTAGTTCAAACTTCTTTCTTTTTACTCGTTAGTTCTTCTCGTTATTCTTAAAGCTTACGATTTCTGTTGCATCTAGAAGACGTGTCCCTTTTGATGCTGTCGTTCTTTTCTTTTTCCAATGGTATGGCGCAGTTGTTGTTGTTGGTGAATGGTGTTTGTTGTTGTTTTTGTTGTTGTTGTTATCGCTTGTTGTTGGCTGTGAAAATTGTGTCAGACAAACGTTGAGATGATGCTTCAATGCTCCCTTCCTCAAAGCCGTCAACCGCAAGCATTACAGGGCTGGCATTGGGGCAAGTCACGTCTGGCGGGGGATGGGGGCCAATTTGTGCGTTTGGGTCTTAGATTCTTTGTTGTTGTTGCTTATCGAGCGAGTGAGTCTTTTGGCTTTTGTTCTTGTTGGAGAGTCTCGGCAGTCGCTGTGAGCATAACTAACAATAATTACCATTACCATACCACGGAAAGGTCCAGCACCATCAGTGCGGAAGCATCAAAGGTCGCGCCGTGCTGGTCAGTCTGTGGTGCGACTTGTCGCCACCGCCGCCATACTCATCGTACGCCAGCAGCGGCGAGATCTTGAGCCCGGTCTTCTCGGGTATGATCTTAAAGTGCGGCTGATCGGCGCTGATCAGCAGCGGTCGCTTCATGGACGAGTGCAGATACTCGTGTCCATGTGGCATATTGCTGGCGGCGGCGCCCAGGGGTCGCCTTGTGCTCGGCACATTCATCTTCTTGCATGGCTCCGGCTTGCTCTCGTAGTTCAGCTGACAGTTCTCGGGCGAATATTTGTTCGGCTTGTATATGGAGAAAATGTTGTTGATCAGACTCAAGGCGGAATGGCCGCCGGCGGAGGCGTGATGTATGCCCGCCGTTGGCTGCTGAGTGAGCACGCTGCCGCCGAGCGTCGTGTGCTCTGGATAAAAGTTGTTGTACTGATACGAGGGCAGCGTATCCGCTGTCGGATATACCTTATGCCCATAGCCATAGGTCGGAGCTGGAGCCGGTACCGGTGGCACTGCGCCGCCCAAATGACGAGCCTGATGATGGTGGAGCGCTGGACCGGCGGGATTCTCAAAAAAATTGAAGCCCGCCCCATTGTTGGAAGAGCCGCTCGAGTCCATCTGCGGCGGCGACGGCATTCCCTCCAGCAGCGATTTCTTGATCATCAGCCGCTCGTGCTCCCGGTCATGCATATCGATGGGCTGTCCATTGTTATAGCAGCGCACGTTGACATTCTTGACCTTCAGATTGCTGTGCATGTTGCGGCGCATGTCCATGTTGATGGGGCTAGGCGGCTTGTCCAACTGCTCCCAATACTTCTCCAGATCAATGTTGAAATCCTCCAGATCGATCTCGGTCGTATCGGAGCAGCTGTCCTCGTCGAACAGACTGGGCGGCTGCACCTCCAGCAGGGATTTGGTGCGCGTGGGCCGCGGATAGTGGGCATAGCGGCGACTGGGACTGGCGGCCATCTGGCACTGGGCCAGATAGCGTTCGTCCTCGTCGAGGAATTTGTCCTGCAGCAGCAGACGCTCGCGCTCGGCGCGTATGAACTGCTCCAAATCGGTGTCGTAGCGACAGTGCATGTGCTCCTCCTCCTCGGCGGCCGGATGATGGCCCGGACAGTGCGCTGTGCGCCTTGTCGCACGGTGCTGTGGCTGGCGATGGCAGCAATAGTCCTCCGAGGCACAACAGCAGATCACGGTGGCGGGCAAACGCTGCTGGCCACGCCCCAGCCGATGATCTGCCTCTGCGCGCTCCTCAAACAGCCAATCCGCGGGCGAGCGCAGACTGCGATTCAGATTCAGATTCCTGTTGCTGCCAGCGCCGGCTGCGGCGCCATAGACATCGCCCAGCCGGCTCCTGGAGCCGGCATAAATATCATCCAGCAGGCACTTGGCACTGGTGCACTGATCCCGCGCACAGCAGCTATGCGCCAGGGCGCGCTCATCCAAGCTGTTGCTATACAGCATATTCATGGTGCGTCTGTATGCCTCGCGCTTCTCGCGTCGCGTATTCGAGGCGGGCGGCAGCTCGTAGTCAATGATGTCAAAGGGCATTGTCTTGGTGGAGGCGCTGAACGAATACGATTTAGGCACGCCGGCGCGATTCTTCAGTATGGAGGTGGTGGTGGCCGCCGCTCCGGGTCCAGCTCCTGCTCCTGTCCCGGCGCCTGGGCCGCCCGACTCATAGACGTTGCCCTCGAAGCAGCAGCTCTGCGATTTGGGATATTGGAACTCCTTGCAGCTTTTGGATCGCTGCAGTCCGTAGCCGGGCGAGCCTTCGCCCTCGCCGCGACGCTCCCGCATGGGCAGCGCCTCGTCCGCGTATTTCTCGTCCTGTTCGCGTATGTCACGCAGAATGCGATTGCTATAGCTGCCATACTTGAGGCAATCGGGCACATAATCCTCGTCCAGATCGTCGGAACGATTCGAGTAGATGTTGTCCGTATACCAGGTGGAGTCCAGCTGCTTGGGCTTTGGCTTGGCCAGCAGCAGTTTGTCCCGCTTCGACTGGCGATAGCTCTCGAAGCAGATGTTCTTCATCTTCTCAAGCTTTTGCTCCCTAATGCGCTCCCAGTTCTCCCAGTTCTTGTCGTTCTTATTGCGCCCGGATAGTATGAGTACATCCCTGTCCTTGTCCCAGGTGAAGCCAGCATCGGCATCGCTGTACTCAATGTTCAGGCGCTTCGTCTCCCGGCTGGGCGATGTCTGCGTTTGCGACTGCGAGTGTGTGTGTGTGTGACTGTGTGTGTGGGTTATGGGCATTGAGCTGCTATTGGCTAAATTGTTATTATCGGTAACTACAATTCTAATTCTACGCTTGGTCTTGTCGCCCGCTCCGGATCCGGCTCCGGCGGCACGCGACGTTTGCATTGATGATTTTGCTGGCGGCTCTTCCTCTTCTGGCTGTCACACCTCCTGCAGATACTTGATGGGACAATAGCCCTGACGATTGTCCGCCGAACGCACCATAACCATGCCGTTTACCTCATCGCCAGTCTGCATTCGAGGAATATATTTACATATACAAATGGAGGGTTAGAGAAAGGGTAGTCTCTCCTGCTCTTTATGGCTTCCATATATTTCTACTAATAAGTTGCCTACCTGTATGACAATCTGGTCGCGGAGGAGCGTCATATTCTCGCCGCGCTCCCCATCGGAGACTTGGAGATTGTGCGTCACCTGGAGCGGCTTCTCGTTGGCATTGAGACGCACACAATACTTGGATGGAAAGAAACCAACGCGTCCCAGCACTTTGCCCTTCCACCAGTCCGGATCGGAGGTATCGATGACTGTCACCTGTCGATTGAACAGTTGTGTGTGTGTGTGTGTGTTAAGCAACAGCCATTACCCAGCTACTTGTCCTTGCCAGGACAATGGCAAAATAAAAAAAAAACAAGTCGAAATCAAAATAAGAACAATAGCTGCAGCTTGGCTAATGCATATGTAAATATCTCGCACATTATGCCAGCGGCCATGGGGGCGTATGCGCAATCCCAATGCCAATCAGAATGTGTACACAAGCCCCACCTTTCCCCTTAACTACTATTATTGCCAGTTTTTCTATATACTACTACTTCTTTCTTTATTTTTTTGTTCCTATTTTCCATTTGCTTGGCTTTGTGTACATAATAAAAATGCGCTGTGTACATTATAAATGAACCAGTTGTGTGTTTGTTTTTTTGTTTTTGTTTTTGCTCATATTGAATATATTGCTATACATTCATGCATGCAAACACATATGTCCATAGACAAACATATTTATTTGTATATGTGTATAATTGTATGTGTGTGTGTGTGTGTGTGTGTGAATGTGTTTTGTCCAAGCAATTTCCTGCGCTTCCATTGTCCTGTTTTATGTGTGCGATAAACTCATAGTTTAGCGGATTAAACAAAGCCCTTTACTTATTTATTCACTGCATGCGAAAATATGTGCAGAGAATATTAATACTCCGCAAGCCGAGTTTACAGGGTATACAAATTTATATGACCTACAGATCTGCAGCTGCTCTTAACCTTCTATGATTCAATTAAAATTCTGAATAATTGGGTATATTCAAATATTCAATTTAAGTACCCGTCTAATAATGTTTCCTCGACTTACTGTAAGTTGTACTGACATATAGCTCACCTTGTAGCCGGCCTTAAGGTCCAGTTCGTCGGCATGCCGCGCCTTAAAGTTGTAGAGTATGACATACAAATTGGTGGGCAGCAGACGATGTGATTTCTTGAAATTGGAAAAACATTAGAGCGTGCTAATAAACAACATGGCAGGCAGAGTTTATCAAGAGAGAGAGAGAGAGAGAGAGAGCGCAATAAAGAGAGAGAAAAAAAAAAGAAAACGAAAGTGGGAGGTAAACGGAAATGGGGGGAATACCTGGGCATGTCTTACAGGTGATAGGCAAGGCGATGTGCTGGCCGAGGACTGCGATTTCTCCATTTCATCGGGCAAATCGACGCTGCCGCCGCGCATGCCGCGCGTGGCATACAGAAGCTTGCGACCCGGATGCGAGGGGCTCGATGGTGCTGTAATGGATATGGTTATGCGAGAAAAGAGCAGAAGAAGAGAGGGAGAAGAAGAGCAGAAGAAAGGCAGCGTTAATGGCCAACAGCGATGGCAGCAAGGACATGCAACAACACACACACGCACACAGAGATTGGCTCTCAATGTGGTTGTCAGGTTAATTAAATGCACGCATGATAGAAAGAATAACAAGAAACAGATACAAGTGACAAGTTAAAGATACAGATACTCATACAGATAAAGGTATAGATACAGATACAGATAGAGATATAGATACAAAGCGATAAATGAGGAAATTATAGAGGCTGTTCGTGTGTGCTTCAACAATCAAATCGAGCCGTTAACTTTGCAGCTGGGCGATAAATTCAAATGAAGCCTTAAGTTGAAAATATTCAAGAGCTACTTTTTGTTTTTACAAAGATGATGTTGTATATGACTGTCGAGTGAAGTGGAGCTGAATGGAACACGGTTTACTTTTCGTCAATTTCTACAACTTTCAGCTAGTGCTACAAGAAAAACAAACACAAAAAAAAGTAATCAAAACAAGCTAAAAAAGAGAGAACTACATCAAATTTTGAGGCGTGTTTACAAATAAAGCAATTATTGTTAATTGTACTATATTAATTCTGCAAATTCTTATGTTCCATTTGTAGTGTTTATCGCTCGTTGTACAAGAAGTTTGTTATGTTTGGTTTTTGAAAGGCTTTCGAGTCAAGAATTAGAATCAGAGTTAAGAGCAGTTAAGAGTACTAGTTGAAGCCCAAAGAACGGGATATCCAGTTAAGTGGATATCGATTGATTGATTTAAATTAGCTGAAGTTATTATTAATAGATATATTTTTATATTTTGGTGGTTGGTTGGTTGGTTGGGTTAGGTGCAAATCCGTTCGGTGTGGAGACGTTGGTGACGGGAGCGGGAATTGTGGTTAGCTACTTACAGTGCAGCCGGCTGTTGTTTGATGGGGGAGTACTGTGCTCCAGATGCCCTCCCGAGCCGCCATGATAGTAGCCGCTGGATGTCGAGGCGGCCGTTGCCGGCAGATGCTGGCGGCGCCTAAACTGACCGTGCAGCTCCGAGGATTCGGGTGAGTCCAAGCTCAACGATTTCATGCGTAAGTTCAACTTTTGCCGGCGCGGTGAGTGCGGTGCTGTTGTTGTTGTTGATGTTGTTGTTGATGTTGTTGTCGCGGGTGTGATGGTGTTTTTGGTTATTTGGATCGATCATTGGAGCATGATCATTTTTGGACAATAACGCGACAGACACAACATGATTTTTGGTTTGGTTTTCGGTTTTCATACGAAAAAAGCGATAAAATGTATAAAAAAAGTTGGCAATTTAATTTCGTTTTGTTCAGAATTTCGTATACTATATGCGTCTATATGCAGCTACAGCTCTAGGAAAAATAACCAAAAAACCATAAAAACTAAACAAATAGTATACATATACATATATATATGCATAAATATATATATATATATATATTTTTTATAAAATTTAGTTTGTATTCATTTTAAGCTAGAACTGAAATTGAAAATCAAAACAATAGGACACAGATTAAAGATAGAGTATATTTGCAACAGAGCAACATTCAACACGTTTATAGAGACAGCAAAGTGTATCTGTTTGTAGTTTGGGTGTATTTTTTCTAGGCGCCCCGTGCCAGCTGCCGTTTATAAGAAAAAGTTCATTGCGTGTAGTTCAGTGTAGTTCTTTGGCATTATTATCATTATTATTATTAAAGTGAATACAAATAGATATTGGACGAGTCAAAAAGACAAATAGTTGGAGAGCATTCGTAAAAGTTAACTGTTTGCTGAACGATTCTCTTGACTCAAAAAATATTCTGAGTTTACTCTGAATTTCGGTTTTATTTTGTTTTCTTTTTGTTTTGATGGTATTTACAACAATCATATAGTACGTACAAGCATATTGTGTGAGGTGCATCAATAAATTACTAAAATACTTTAAAATACATTTAAATTTGTAGCTAATTACCGAAAGAAAAAAGCAAAAAAACACACACACACACACACTCACATGCTACTTGCTTGATTTGAATTTGAACTAATTTATACAATAATATTGATTATTTTAGTTTTAGTTGAGTATTTTATAATAATTACTGTGCTGCATGTTTTAAATATTTCATTAAAAAAAAACTAATTGTAATGCTAAACTTCATAAGGCTTTCAGTGCTAAAGACGTAGAAATAATAATAGAAGATAACAAGATCAAAGATTTGGGTAAAACTTATGGCATCAAATGAAAATTAACATAAATTAAAAGTAAAATCCAATCTAGATTTTTATGTCGGCTTGTCGCAGTTTGAATTGAATTTCGAATTCGATTTTAATTCAAACGCACGCGTCGTTTGGTCTTGGACTCATCGTGACTGGGCTCGGGACTCTTGAGGATGGTTCTGGTTAGCATCAGCGGCTCGCCAAAGGGCCGCACAATGTCGGTTTTCGTATTCGTCGCAGCTGTGGGCATATATATAGTCCAGAACATATAGAGATATATGCATTGATTTGGGTATATAAGCATTATATGGGTTTCTTTTCGAATGCCAAGCGACGATTGTTAGTTAGTTATTTAATCGCAGTGAGCTGACTTTGGCATGCTGGAGCGTATTAAAACTAATTAAGTTAAACGAAGACATGGCAAAAGTATTAAACATTAAGACGCCAGCGTTCATGCATAAAACGGCGGAACTCAGCCAGAACAGACACTGTCCTGGGGCCAGCATGTAATAGAGCAGAAAAAAATAATCCGGCTGAAAGCTCAAGCTCTGGCTGCAGCTATCTGACTGTGCCTGGCCGGCCTGCAAGCTCGCAGCAAACTCTCGGACCAGGCCAAAAAGAAAACATGCAAATGGTGCGAGCAAATGTAAAGAAGAAAAAAATACTGAACCCGAAGAAAAATGAAAATCCCAGTCGCAAGTTCCAATCTAAAGGCGAAAAAAGACACAGAGAGAGATAGAGAGAGAGAGGGAAGGAAATTGTGCGCCACAACAAATTTTAGCATAATTATGTTGCAGGAGACTTGAAGTCGAGGAGAGCGACCGGCTAAGCAGCCCAAAGATAAAAAAAAGACAAAAAGAAAGACCCGTTTCCCAAGCCTGTGCTTCCACTCTTCTACCCGGCCAGCTATCTCGCGCGGACATGGCTGCGAATAGATTGAGAACGCCATTAAAAATGCGGCAGATATTAAGCATAAATGAACTCGGCTCCAACTTGGCCAGAACTTCCATTTTGTGCAACTTGCAACTGTGCAACTGCACTCATCAAAAACGCATGAGCTGGGTTATAATTAACTAGACGTGGACAGTGGGAGCTTGTTTGGCGCTTAAAGCTTGATCAGCTGCTAAAGGTTCTTGCTTTTTTAATTGTGTGCATTCTTTAAGAAATAAAAACTAATTTTTAACTTTAATATCATTGCTTATTGACGACGATGTCGCAGATTTAAAGAGTTGTCAGCTTTCTAGCTTTTTTCAAGCTATTTTTAGACAATGTTTAGGTAATCTTGGTTGCGAGAGACTAAGTTCCCAGCCAAAAAGTTCAAAAATCGAATGTCAAAATTCAGTTTTTGAATTTGAAACACGAGAATTTAGGGCCTTATAAGTCTCAGGTATAGCACATGTCTAGTCTAAGATCTATGAAGTAGGCAGACCTTTTAAAGCGCACTTTTACAGGGCATCTGCTGGTCGGGCACTTTCAACTGTAGAATTATTAGTGGTATTTTTATAGCTTTGGAGAGGGCTTTATAACTATATCATGAAATGTGTAACGCATAGTAGGAGACACGCCGAGTTGATATAGCGAAGTCCGAGTTTCCGTCCTCCCGCTTGTCTATCTTTCGGTCCGTCTATCCCTCGTCCGATAGTCTGTCGCTATGCGAACTAGTCTCCCAGTTCTAAAGCTATCCTCTTGGAACTTTGCATAGATCCGTCTTTTTGTTGCAGATAGTACAATTGTTAGAATCAACCTGATCGGACCACTATATCATATCACTCTATCGGATCTATATATCATGTGTATCATTGCTTAAACGCAATTGCTCGACTAACTCCAACATTTACTGGTTTAACTATGCTGCCAACAAATGAGCCATATCTTGTTGAGATCATACTACTATAGTATATAATTCTCTAGGAAGTATCGGTAAGTTAAACAGTTTTTGTGTGACAAAATATTCTGTTTTCCAAGCTTCACGAGTCTCACACATCTGCCAAGCCTTAGGGCAACTGTCGACAAGAGTATTTAATCTTCGGTGTGCCGTAGATATGCGTACTTTCTCGTTACTTTTATTTGATGTTTTTCTTGTATGGCACACAAAAGCTGACAATGGCGCGCAATTTACACGGCACAGACGCTGCGAGTTGTTTCTTTAGCTGCATTCTACAACTTTTCCCCTGCCCCGACCCTTGTCTACTGTTTGCAAGTCCCTGCCTCCTGCCTGCTCTGCCCTGCCTCCCCCGACCCCACCAAAAGTCGAGTCCTGTTGCAGAAGGCAACTCGGCCATGTATACAAATTATGCCAATGTGCCTTGGCTAGGCTTGTAATTGCAGTTGTTGTTGCTGCCGGAAATGAGCCGTTTGCCTGAAGTGTAAACTGGGTTAAGACTAATTGGCGTGCTGGGCCATTGTTAAAGCGAAGTTTGGATTGCGAGGCGTCTCTAACTGGAAATTAAAGTAAATGAAATGCATTTCGTTTGGTGCAATTAACTAAGGTGTAACATTTAACACACACACACACACACACACGCGCGCACACACACGCACTCTCTATTAAATACAACACTTAGAGAGAGAGAGAGGGGCGGGAAGACACAGAGAGAGAGAGACAGAGGGGGAGAGTGGGAGACAGTGAGACAACATTAAATGCGACACGTAAAAAACATGTATTAAACATTCAATTGGAATAAAATGCAGTACTATTCCAAAAAGAACAGTTGCTTGTTCGAGTTGTTGTTGTTGTTGTAGTTGATGTTGTTGTTGTAGTTGATGTTGTTGATAAATTGATAATTGTTGTTGCGGTTGCTGTTGTTGATATTGTTGTTGTTGTTGTTGCTATTGCTGCTGTAAAACTGATTGCAGCACTGTCAAACGAATAGTTGCCGCACAAATCGATGACCGAATGTGCCGCACGTTGCGTGCGAATACAGGTAGCAGCTAGATTTGTAGGTGTCTCAAGGTATTCGTGTGGATAGTTGTGGTGTTGGTGGTGGTAGAAGTGATGGTGGTGGTGCTGATAGTGTTGCTGTAGCTGTTGTAGCTGTTGTTCTTGTTGTTGTTGGTTGTATGTGACGTAATTACTTTCTGGCAATGATATGGAGCGATGCTGCTGCTGCTGCGACGAGCGCTGCTGTCGCAGCCGTCCAAAGCCGGACAACGGTCGAAATCCGGCAAACAGACGACGCCGCACTCCCGGATCATTTTGCAGATAGCTGCAGGCGAGCGGCTGCTGCTGCGGCAGCTGTTGCTGATGTGCTGGCGATGCCTGTTGCTGGTATAAAGAAGATGTTGCTGCTGTCGATTTTGTTGCTGCTGCTGTTGTTGCTGCTGGTGCTGCTGCTGTTGATTGCTGTTGTAGTTGCAGCTGTTGCTGCTGCAGTGCACTGGCCGTGTAGTAGTTAATGCCAAAGCCGCTGCTGATGTACGCCGAGCTGGACATATTGCTGACGGGCGCATAGGGCGCGGCATAGCGTTGATCTTTGTGCCAATTGCAGTTGCAGTCGCAGTCGCAGTTGTATTTATTTCATTTCATATACATTTTTTTTTTATAATTTTGTTTTGTTTTTTTTTTCGGTTTTAAGGCAAGCGCAACAAATTGTGGCAAAGAGATGACACGAGAAAACATTTTGGTGTGTGTTAATTTCGAATTGTTGCACAATCAATAAATTAAGTGTCCTGTTTCAGTGTGTGCCTGCGTGTTTGTCTGCGTGTGTGTGTGTGTGTGTATGTGTATGGGTGTGTACAAATTAAGGCATTATATCATTATATATAATCCCATTATTGCAATCTCAGTCAAATTGGTCAAATTAGCCAATTGCAATGCCGCTGCAATAAACCATTTAATATTGTGCGAGCAACAAATTGGCTAGAGAAATAATGACAAAGGCACAAAGGACGCAGCAACAATCTACACACACACACACACACACACGCACACACACTTTGCTAATTGGAAATATGTAGCTGCAGCAACCACAGGGGAAATGCAGTTGCAGCTGCAGCTGCAAGTGATGAAGCTGGCGCTAATTATGAGGCCAACTGCTTTTGGCCTGGCCAATGCACTCGAGTGCGACACATTGCAAATAGGCAACGCCATTTAAACTGATCGCCCTTAGCGAAAGGGGCGGGGCCTGGGCGTGTGGGTGTGTGAAAATTGTGCTGCCAGCTCGCTGCGTCGATTTTCAATTGAAAATCATTCTTGCATGGCTGCCTTTGATATTGTAACCGGGCATATGCACAATAATGCATGTACACAATACATATAGGCATTAAAAATACCCTACCGAATGTGGCAAGCGGTTTTTTAAAATAATAATTAAGTTAAAAAAAAAAGATAAATTAATTATAAGCATATTAAATAGTGTAATTATAAGTTTTCAATCACTATTATTGATTTATAATATTTGATATTGCATTTAAAATATATAAATAAGTTTTTGAGTTTTTCAAGTAGTGTATATAAATATTCGGCGCGTCGTTGGCAGCTCTATTCAATTGATATTTGGGTCATGATAATAGATACAACGAGTGAAATTTGGTAGGAGCACGAGCCACAGCTCGCACAGCACGCATACACACTGGGGAAATACACACACACACTCACACACACACATACACTCCCATACATATGCAGAGAAGTCTCAAAGTCAAATAGTTATTAAATAAATGACCTATTTAAAACTTAAGCACTTGCATTTAGAGTTCAAAAATAAAGCTTTTATTCAAGTGGTTTATTAATTTGAGTAAACATGTGTGAGTGTGTGTGTGTGTGTTGCATGATAGTATATATGTCATGATAAGCATATACAAAATACATAGAAACTAAATACATTGGTTTAGTTAAGCACTAGTTATATATGCGGCTAATTAAATGCTGTTGCTAAACGCTAGTTAAAGGAACTAAGCTAAAAACTACGATTTGGCAATTAGCTAGAGAAAAGCAGAAAGTTTGTATTTAATTTGGGGCTGGCGCAAAGTGCCAAATAAAATATGTGAGTGTATGTATCTAAGAGTTGTACACAAAATGCATAGCTACATTGCTCAAGTGTTTGTGTGTGTGTGTGTGTGTATGTGTTGGCCAAATTCTAAATCACAAGCGTAGGAGCAGCAATCGGCAAGGCGAAGCAACGGGGCGTATGCGCAATGTATCTAACGTATGCAGTTGGGCAATCAGAATGGGAATTGAATTAAATATAAGAAATATGTCTCTGTGTTTGTGTATGTGTGTGTGTGAGGCTGTAAAGGATGCGCTACTTGGCGTTTATACAAGTGCAGTAATAGCATTTAGCAGAGTTGTAGGTGATTAAAAAGTATTTAAGGACTTGCACGCACTGTAAGTATGTGTGTGTGTGTATCTGTGTGTGTGTGTGTGTGTGGGATGGCAAATGTCATATATTAGTAGCTGCTTTTATGGCTAAGCTAACACAGCACCTACATATGCATGTGTGTGTGTGTATATAGTATATATGTGTGTGTGTGTATATAGTATATATGTGTGTGTGTGTGTGTTACAATACTTTCAACTTTGCTTTAAAGATTGATTTACTTGGAAGTCTTGAATTTGGAGTTTAACGAAACGAAATGAAGAAATGTGAGCTGAATTGATTGATTGACTGTTTGTAACAGAAAGAGAGGGGAGGGGGAGACACAGACAGAGAGAGAGAGAGAGAGAGAGAGAGAGGGGGAGCAAAGGGTAACCGAGATAAAAACCAAAGCTACAAACCATAAAAATGTCAAAAAGAACGGCACAAAAAAAGAAAAACAAGATAAATGCAAGAAACAGAGTTTATGAAATTATGAGCAGACTTTAGTTACATAGAGAGAGACAGAGAGAGAGAGAGCGAGAGAGAGAGAGACAACAAAACTACTATGTCGTAATCTTTTTTTTCGGTTTTCATATTTTCTTTTTTGGTTTTTTTTTTTGCGGACCTGAGCTACTAGAGATATCTTGTGTGGGCACCGGCAGACCGCCGCGCTGCTGCTGCAGCTCCTGTTGTTGCAGTTGGACGCCCAGTATGGGCATGGCCACGGGCGGCGGACGAACACCACGGCCGGCGCGCACCGCTGCCGCCTGGGCAACCGATGCCAGGCTGCGCTGGTGCTGCTGATGCGTCTGCTGATGGATCGGCTGATGGGTCTGCTGATGCTGCGGCTCCGGCAGCAACGGTTCCGGCACATTGACAATGGGTATCTCGGCGACGGGCAGCCGTTCCACGGCGCTGCTGGCCAGCGGCTGCAGCGGCAAAACTGTGCTCGCTGCGCCCGGAGCTCCGGCTCCGGCTCCGGGTCCGAGGGCAGCTCCAACGCTGCTGCTGTTGCCATCCAACGTTTGTTTGCCCGGCACGTGGACGGCTTTGTCGGCGGCGGCGGCGACGGCTGCTGGAATATGCCCGGATTTGAGTTCGCCGGCTTGTTTCAGCACACGATAAATTTGATCGATTTCGGTAATTTCTTTTGTTTATTAATTTTTGATTGGTTCGTGCCGTGGCATTTAAGTTGATTAGTTGCCGTATTTGGTTTTGGTTTTTTTTTTTTTTTCAATTTTATTTGTTGGTGGTGATGTTGGGCGTGGTGAAGAGTGGTGGGCGTGGTGTTGGCCAGTTGTGGTTTGGTTCAATTTCGATACGTTTTTCGATTTTGGTGATGTGCATTGAAGTGCATTAGTTAGATTTTGGCAAGTGGTTGCTTGGAACGATGATTCGTTATGGATTTCGAAGGGGGCGGGGAAGGGTTCTCTTAAGGGTTGATGAATGAATATTCTTATATAACATATGTGTGTATATGTCTGTGTGTGTGTGTATGTGTGTGTGTGTGTGTGTATCTGTGTATGCTAGAGTTTACTTTAGCTTAATCCACACGTTTTGCATAATCCGCCTGCTCGAGCGCTTTTGTTACGGGTTTCAACAATGTTCGAATGTGTGTTTTTGTGTCTGAGTAAAGAACTAACGACATATTTAGGTTTAACCTCTAGTTAGGCGACATTTAGAAATGGTATCAAACGCTAAATGTGTATCGATTGCTTGCCCAATTCTTAGAGTACCCAAAAATAATCGATATACATATGTGTGTGTGTGTGTGTGCGATATGTTTAACGATAGCTAGTGATAAGTTGAGCTGATTTCTGATTGATCTTATGTTATTTTATTATTGTTGTTGTTCTTGTGGCAATAAGATTTACTTAATGACAGCTCTATAACATGCTCCACTACGCAATCTTATTGTTGTTGTACGATTTAGTCGAAAAAAGTATATATATATCGATAGTTCGATATCTCGATCAATTTACTCTTTTGGTGAATTTTCATAGCCTGCATAATGTGTGAATGGATTTCGAGAAAAAAACTCTTTTGTTTTGTGTATTCTGTTGAACTGAGTGTTGTTTTTGCTGATCTTGTTTTAATATATTTAATATATATATATATATATATATATATATATATATATATAAATATATATATAGATAAATGATAATTGTTTGTTTTCATTCTTGTCTGGCTAATTAGGTGAATCAAAGCGCAACAATCAATCATTGCATTAACCGAATTCGGAAAACATAAAATCGATAACACAAATTATCTCGAAACAAATGAATATTTAAAATATAAAAACAAAACACAAAAGATACAATTCAAGCGCATGGCAATTGAGTATCTTTGCGCATACAATATAAGTATGATATATACTATATAGAGTAATACATTCGGTACCTAGTTGCGCAATGCGATTGATGAAGGGCGTCTTTTGACGAAATTTCGTATTGGGCACATTCAACAGATTTGCGCTTTGATTTTGTTCATCGGCTGCGGTTTGCCCACATTGGGGGCTAACGGACTCCTGTGGCGATGCTTTTTCGGAGTTTTTTTTATTTTTAGTTTTTTTTTTTTATATTTTCATATATATTTTTTTTTTTTTTTTTGTGGAGGAAGAGGATTTTATAGTTGAGTATTTATTGAGGGGTTTTTGCTGTCTAGCTAAAGTTTGTTTTTGTATTGTTTTTAAAGGCCAAAAACACAGTTCGAGAGACTTTTCAACAATAATAAATGTTAACAGTTTGTAAATCAAAAAGCTTAGAGAATTAGAGGCTTTCAATTACTTTAGAGATAGTTAAAAATAAATTGTTTTCAAATGTTGAAATGAAATATTATTGAATTTTACACAAATAGATCGTCGCTTATCTCGAGCTGTGCACTGGCCTCGAGCATTGAATGTGTTAACGTACATACAAATTTGTAGCTGCCCCCACAACCAGAAAATACGTACTGCCAACATTTAAATAAAAGTATTTACAGAAACTACAATTGATGGAACAACAAGGAGCTGAAAGTCCACACTGCAGCCACAAATCATCAACAACGCCCACGAAGTCCATAAAATAAAACGCTTGACAACCAAAGTGAAAACGAGAAAAATGTAAAACAAAATATAAAAATACAAAAATTGAGCATACATATTAAATATATTTCTTGTCGAAATTTGGGTTTTTTGCGAATTGCTGCAGAAATCAGAAGCGATGCAATCAGTTTGTCTCACGGGTGACATAAATCCATTGCGATATCAACTGATGCCCGGACGCCAACGAAACAGTCAAATCAATACGCACACAGCACGAGGATGTGCTCCAGCACAATTTGACAAGTTTTTTTTTTTGTGGTTGTTTGTTCCCCTCTTATTTCGCTGATACTTATCGGATTTCTGATTCGAGTCTAGAAGTTGGCATGCAATGGACTGGAAATAACGCAGGTAATGGGCTCCACATTTGTGTGGAGGCGGATACACAAAGTGCACAATTTACAGTGCCAGCTCGAGCAGGACATATGGGAGGACAACATCCTGATTCTGGGCCATGCAAATGCAATATTTGCAGTTGGACCAATCGAAAGCACAAACCCAACACAAATACAAACAACACAAAAGTTAAGTTAACAGAAACGAAACAAAAACAAAGTAAGGTCAATTTTAAGCATTAACACTCAAGGGTTTTCTGGCTGGCTGGCTGTTTTCTTATGCATATTTAGAAGGTAATAAAAACCCATCACGCCTAGGGGACAGATCGTTAATGTACAGATACAGCTGGCGCTGTAGCAACAAGGCTTTGGCCTTGTGTGTGTAAGCATATTTTTGGCAGAGAGTGTTATTTTGTGGTTATTGTTAAAAGGGGGGGCGTCAGCGTTGGGGCGTTTAGTTGGCGCGTGATGAGAGCTTGCGAGAGAGCATTGTAATTGTGCTTGGAAAATACTCACTTTCTTCCTCGATATCAACACGATTCTCCAACTCCGAGGTGCTCTTCTGGCGACGCAACAGCTTCTGTTTGGGTTGGCAGCGTGGCAAATTCGGTGCACAATCTCCATGGGCATTCAGCTTGCAAATGCGACAACGCAGGCCCTGACGTGTGTGGCCTGTGTCAGCAAGAGGGGTAAGGGAAAAGTGTCAGATTCAGTCAGCACCAGGCACAACTCTTTACGGGCATACGCACCTCTCAAAATTTGCGAGCAGACATCACAAGCCGTTATCTTTTTGTACGTGTACTCCTGCAGATGATGGCTGCCATCCAGGTTGGGGCGCAGCGATTCCGATGGGGCATTCGAGGCACCATTACGCCTGTGAAGAGTGCAATTCAGATGGTATCAGTACGGGCTCCCACACACACACTCACACACACACACAGGCACGCACATATTCATACTCGTATGCGATGATATGCGTTTAAAATACAACTCAATTTAATTTAATCCAATCCACAAAACTCGTGTTAAATGTTGCGCTTTTGCTCGGACTAAACGAGTAAATGTAATTATTGTGTCAACCACAATATACAAATATTTATGCTAACATATACAGACATGTATATATTATATATATGTATGTATATAACTATATAAACATATGCGTGCAGCAGAATATTGAAGTGTAAATTTGCATTTTGTAGATAAATCGTGCGACCGCTGACTGTGGCTGGGCGCCAGGCTTTTGTTATATTATTATAACATATAAATATGCACAATGACAACGGCAAACAATGGCAAATACACAATGCCAGTTGAACATTAATCACAGAGCCTTGTTTAAAGACACAAAAAGTGGCGCCATGCCAGAAAATAAACAACTGTTGTCAATATTAATAAGTATTTCGTTACTCTCATATCAAAATAATACAAAGCAGGTTGTTTTTATTTTTTATTTAAACTAGCACCTAATCGGCGCTGCTCTCAGTTTTAAAGCTGGTAAAAGTTAAGGTTTTGTAGAGAAATTTCGGTTGCATTTGGTTTATAAACAAGGGTATTAAGTGTTCGGCTTTTGCCTAGCCTGTTAATTTAGCTACTCATCATCAAACGTAACACAAGAAACACTTAAATGAATTGTATACTTGGCTATTTTTGGTATAAAAAGCATTTCGTGTATCTCAATAATTTGATGTCATATTTATATGCATAGCATTTGCCCTCGAATATAACCAATTTGTTGTTTTTATGTTCCTGCTGTGGCTGGCTTTTTCCTCGCTGGCCCCTGTTTTATTTACCAGAAAAGCATACAGCCAAACGATTGGACAGACTGACACACAGACAGACAAACAGACAGAGAGACAGAGGCTGGGACATATAGACAATACGCCAGACAATGCTGCAATTGTTCACAGTGGGCGGTCGAGAGGGTCATGTCGGAGAAACGCAGGCTCAGGCACAGGGCCTGGCTGAGGACCGGGCCAGGACGAGTGGCTATGGAAGTGGGCCAACTCTCGACGCTGATTGTTTGTAAGTGGCTTATATTGTGCACACAAACAAACAATTCAGCTCAGTTCAGCACGTTGGCTTATAAAGTTGTTAACAAACGTGTAAAATATACAAATTTTTGTATTGTATTTTATCCCTTTCAAGTTAAGTAATTACCATTTTATATATTTACACATTTTACTTTGTACGTGTCTCGAGTAAAAGCGCAACACTTGCTACAAAATATAAACTGTTTTTTTTTGTTAAATGATTTTTGAAAATAAACTTATTAAGCTATAGCTAGTGTTAAATATTGTCAAGAATTATTTGTATATCGTTAGCTTAGCTATAAATGTTGATAATCTTTCGCAGTTCGTTGAGAAATTAAAGTTCAGTGTTTACTCATATTCATACATAAACATACACTAGTGTTGATAAATGCTAAAAGCTACAAAATTATTAACACCCAGCCACAATGCAGAGCAGGCATTACTATATTATAGATCAAGTTGAAATCTAATTAATCAAAATTTATCGCTAACAAAAAAAAAATTTGTAGTTAGAAAATATCTTAATGGCCTTTTAGGTCCAGTGCTAAAAAATAGCTAAAACTAGTCGTGATTTTACCCATCTTATTACTCTTGACCACTTTAGAATACCATAATTCAATAATAAGTTCTTTCTTGCATACAAATCCCCGCTTCTCAACTCTTCAATTCGACTACTTAACAACACTATAATACGTTATTTTTTCCATACAAATCCTCGCTTCTCAACACTAATCCTCTTAACTCAACTTTGAATTTAAATATAAAAATACTTTACGCAAACTTCTCAACTACTCTAAGCTCCACTTTAAATGCTAGCATGAAAAAGTCTAGTTAGCATAAAATATAAATTATAAAACTATTTACCGACACTGATAACCTAACCTCAATTAAGTATGAAAGTAATTGGGGCTTACTTATACCAAGATCACAGAGATCACACATATACGGATTTTACATATATTAATTGCATTATATATATATAGTACAAGTTATTAATAAAAAAACGAAATACATTTAGTTGGGTTCATATTTGATACGGCTATTATATTTTAATATACATAGGGTACACTAAGCACTAAGTGTGATTGTGTGTGTGGGTGTATATATATATTAGAGTGTGAGTGTGAGTATAATGGTGATTTAATGTACATGGGGTTGTTCTGCTTTTCATTAGAGTTACGTATTGCAGTTGGGAGGAGTACTAGCAAAATGCATGTTTTACTATTTATCAACATGAAAAAAAAAGGATAGGGCAATAAAATTAATTATACATTTTTCATTAATGCACCAACTAAAAGTTTCATGAAACCAAAAACAACAAAATATTGTGGAATCCAAAAAAAAAAATATTCCCACGATTCCTGCTGGCTGGCTGGCTGGGCGTGTGGGCGTGCCTTAACGGGGGGCATTAGTAATTTCGAGGCGGAATGCGAAAAGTTTTGCAATATAACAAAAGTTTAGCTGTGATTTTCTTGTCACGTTTGTAAATGTTTATATTAAATCTTAGCGCCAATGCACTTATGAACGAGAAGTAATATAGTATATATAGAGGTATATACACACACAGAAAATGAACAGCTAAGCAGATGAGTTGATCAATGAGGCTGCAACGAATATTAAAAAATGTGTTGTCGCCGCAGCAGTTGGCCATAATTCCGCTAAAGCTGACGAGTTATCGCTAACTCTCTCTCTCTCTCTATCAGTATCTATGTCTCTCCTCTCACACTCTCTAAGCCGAGAAGATTTTCGATTTATCATCGTTTGCAGCGCAAGCTGTCGGCATGGTATTAAGCATTGTTGGCGAATGCTTCCAAACAAATAAAAAAAAAAAAGAAGATATATATATGAAGAAGAAAAAGCAGGCAATGGGCCAATGGGAATGCCATAAACGGCAGCCAATTCGAATGCGAATACGGGTTGCGGAAGTGGATGCGAATGCGAATGCGGATGCGGATACGGCCGCTGTTGCCCAGTGCATGGCCAATACCAATGCAATTTATCTACAAGCATTTCTATGTGTGTGCGAGTGTCTATGGCGGCTCTTCGAAATTTATAGCCAGCAATTTTTCGCATATTTTCCAATGCTTCAACTGGCGCCACAGTTGAATTTACTGGTTACGAAGGCGGCCAAGTTCTACGTAACCATATGGACACAGAGATAGCCAAAGTTGGAGCCTACTTTTTGTTGGATAACTGATTCAGAGCTGCGGAGCTGACAAACTTTGTTGCAGTCTTACTTTTTTTGTTATGAAAGGGCACGCGTTGGGCGCAAATATTTGATATATGGACATAAATGCTGCCTCGAGGCAGCCGATCGGAGCTCTTAAATCGAGCGAAGATCTCAAAGTTATACGGAATATATTTTCTGTTAGAGAATTTAGTTTTCGGCTTGCTAAATTAATTATTGTCAACTTGTTTTTGTTTTTTTGTGTTTTTAGCAATTTTAATTGATTTCACGAAGGCTGTGATTGATGGCCCGAACGTCGGGCACAGGCGCAGGTGCAATTTATGGCTGACGCTCGAAAAATAATATTCACAAAAAGAAAATAACAAAATATTTATTTAAAATGCAACTAAAAACTTGTTTTCGCCGCTTTTGTGCAGCTTTTTTTAAATTTGATATAAAATATTATTGGAATTTGTAATATTTCTTGGGGTTTTTACAATCGGATTGGTTTTAATTGTGTTTTGGTAGCTGCTAATACTACTTTGGCGTGCAACATTTACGGCAATTTGTTTTTTGTTTGGTTCTATCAAGCTCTAATAAAGCAAAATATTTAAATTTATATTTAATTAAAGTCGTTTTTTTTTTGTACCATTTGTTTAGAAACACAAAAATTGTTTTTAGTTGCTTGATTAATTTGGTTACCTCAAGGTCAGAACGGTTGATACGGCGTGGTACATTTGATTTTGTCGGGGTGGTTGGCTGATTGTAACATATCATACGATATATATATATATATATATAGATAATAGTTTGGTACGATTTTCGTTTGAAATTTGTATTTTCGGCAGTAAATGAATATTTTGTGAATGTTTTTTTGTTTTAGGATGTTGTATAGAGAAAAGTGTAGAGAATATTAGTAAATGCAGCAAGAAGTTGAACTAGGCTAACTTAAAGGATATTTAATAGCTAAGGGATGCTTAAAGTTAGCTTAGGATTCATATTTTATTTTTCACTCTATGGTCAGGCTGAAGGGGGGAGGGGGAAGGGAGGGGGGGGGGGGCTTTGTGGCTACAGTTAAAAACCACAAAATGCAACTGAAAGGCGCGTACAGAAAATGTTAACCTCTGCAGCTTCCTCTTTTCGCGACGTGATTAAATTACTTAACATAAATTGCCGAATATATACGGCAGATGCAGAAATTGCACAATTTGAACTGTTGCATAAATGGCGCAAATATTTGAAAAAGGTTTTTCACTTTTTCCACTTTTTTTTCTTCTCTTTTTATTTCTTTTTTTTTTTTTTTTTTTTTTTTTTTGCATATTTTTCGCGGCTTTTAGTCATATTAAAGTGCGGGGGGGCGGGAAGTAGGGGGCGTGCGGTTGTATATTTGGGCGCTTTGCCGCGCTTCATTTTGTATCTATGCAGTTGGAACATTTTCCGACAATTTGCTGCTTATTTTGCGCGCAGCTTTGCTTTTTTACTTTTCAGGACTCGAACTGGAACTAAATATTTCGAGTGAGCGAGAGATTTGGCATTTGGGCTTAAATATAATAAACAAACATATATATGCATATAGATTCTATGGGGAAGAGGGTGCTCTTGTTATGGGAGTGAATGGGGGTATGCTTTTTGGGCGGATAGGGGGTGTGGGTGGTACTTACCTATCTGCTTGTGTTGCTGAACCAGAACCCGCCGGCTTTAGGCTCTTAAATGCTTTCAGCCACTTTGTTTTCATCGATGGCGCTGTGGCGGCCGAGAATTTGCGTTCGTTGCGCGGCGAAGTTGGCTCAACTTTGCTAACGAATAACTCCTTCTGCAATTGCCAAGATAGAGAGAGAGAGAGACACACAGACACATACAGAGGGAGAAAGATGGAGGAAGAAAGAGAAAGAAAGAGATAGTGCTTAGTGCTGTGGTAAATACAATTTGACCTAAGTCAAAGCAGCTCGCTTGCAAGCAATTTGCATTTAAGCGTCTCACGTTGCAGTTTAATTACAGCCATTAGCACAACACACACACACCCACACATGCACACACACACCCACACGCACGGAGTTAGCTACAAGCTCGTTATGGCATAATTACATGCATACAAGTTGTATTTAGGCGCAAATGTTAAATATTTAACTGCATATCTGATATTCGGTTATTTTGATAGGCGCTCTAACAACTTCACAGCCATTTGTGCTGTGCGTGCCATGGCAAATAAAGCTATTTTAATTAATAATCAACACTTTGCAAAATACCACAAAATGTAATCATGCCACGCACACACACATACACACACACATTTAGACACTTATGTGACAATAATTAAAACCACGTGTGACATTTGGTCACAGTTCAGTTTAGCTTTAGCCTTTGTTGCTGTTGTTGTTGTTGTTGTTGCCATGCTCTCTGACTAATGCTGGTAATCACAGTGTGCACTGCTTAAGTAATCCAGCAATAAATGCATAAATTTCACATTATGCGGTTCTTTTAATGGCATACGGAATGTTGATTAAATGCAATTTATCTATATGTAAATTTATAATTATTTAGAGCTGAACCACAGACATGGGTGTGTGCGTTAGGACGAAAGCTAATTTCATTATAGAAAAAAAAAAAAAACCGAAACCTTGTCAAATAACTCATTATTAAATAGCAATAAATTTATTGGGGCTTAGTTGAACTCATGAAAATCGCATAGAAAGGCGATGTTGCGGAGGGATTTAGATTGGGTGAAAGGGAGTCAGGGAAAGAGAGAGAGTGAGAGATACAGAGAGAGAGAGAGAGAGAGAGAGAGAGAGAGAGAGAGAGAGAGAGAGAGATAGGGAGATGAAGAGAGAACGAGAGGGAAATATGCAGAGATAGAGAGAGAAAGTGAGAGGGGAGGAGAGGAGATGGAGGCTAATTAAGAAAACGAAAAAACTTGAATCCGAGAGTAAATATGAAAGTTATGTTGAGAGAAATGTAGAGTGAGAGGTAGAGTTAAACAGAGAGAACAAAAAATACTAATTAGGGATTTTTGCCCAAGTTATTTAATATTGCAATTTTGCTATTTGGCTGCTTCACAACACTACAACATAAAGAGCACCAAGCGAGTTTAGAGTAATTAAAATAAATTGAGACTTAATGCTTCTGCTTAGCTGACTGCATAAAACATAAGCGTCTGCTTAACTGGCTCCAATCAGAGTATGTATAAATCATAAAGCTTTTCAAAGCGAAATGCACAAACTTTCGGCTGTCTATTTCGGCCGGAACCTTGAACATTTGCATAGATCATTGCGCTGTGCTGGCAGTGAACGATATTGACTTGTGTTTTCAACTCGGAGACAGGCGGATAGACATGCCTGATGATTACGTGTAGCCTTGCCACAACAATCACAGAAGCAGCCCGAAAAACAACAACAAAAACAACACAAAAATTCAGCACTCTCGCAATTGCAGCGTTTATAATGCAGCGAGGCGCGTGCAGTTTTGTTGCCTGTCGCCTGACGCTCTTGTCGTGGTTGTTGTCGTTGTTGACTTTTGATGCACGTTGCGAGCACTATTTTCGACATGTTACTTTCTTTTTTGTTTTGGGGGGGCTGCTGGGTGGCGTAGGCCAACTGACAGACCTGACAGCGTGAGAGCGTCCTTGTGCCTGACAGCAGGATATTGAGTTTGTCATGCGGCTGCAGGGCTTGGGCTGGTGTGGCAGGCCTATATTGATATCGATATCGAATGCACGCCATCATAAAATAGCATTTTTAATGGCAACAACAATTGCTATTATAGAATGCATTTTATAAACGTTTAATTGATTCGCTGCAATTATAAATTAATTGCATTGCCGCTGACAAAGCGACGCCTGCAAAAATATTATGCGCAATTTAATACGCACGAAACACAGCGCCAGCATTTAATTAAGATAAATATTTTATATGAAAATGATAAACTAAAAAGCAAAGCTAAAGCTCAACTTAAAGGAACACACATGAAAGTGGTGGCAGGAGGCTGGGAGCAGGCCAAGATAAGAAGCTGCCGCTGCCTGACGTTGAGCACCAGCATCACGAGCAGTACAAGTGTGTGTGCGTGTGTGGGTGTGTATGCTGGCGCCCAAGCGGGCTCCTTCGTAATGGACATGTGCCTGTCATGTTGCCTTTGTCATTGTCGTTAGCGGGCGTGTCCTGTGCCATAAATTTATGCATGCAGTGCATAAAATTCAAATTAAAGGAGCCGCCGCCGCCGCGTATCCTGCCAGCGACAAGTACACGTTTTGACACTTTACAACACTAGTGGGTCTGGCCTGCTGTCGCCATAGCTTTGCCCGGCAACTGTTACCCGCAGCTACCCTGCAACAACGTGGGCTGCTTTATCGCCCGCTTTGCTGTCAGGGCCAACTACAGCTGCTAAAAGCAAGCGCCAGCTCCTGATGTGGGCGTCAACGTCAACGTCTCAGCAATCAGTGGCGAGTAGCACCAGCAGCAGCAGCGGCAGCGTCAGCAACAGCAGCAGCAGCAGAGGCAGTCGCCACAGCTCTGGCAACACAATAAGAGGAAAGAAATGTTGCTAACCCTCCCACGCTCTTGGCCCTGGCACTCGGCTGCCTTCAGCGATCGGGCTTCCGAGTGCTTTTGAGTTCAACTTCAGTTGCATATAATGTCCCCTAATTGATTTCCTTTGCAGCTTGGCCCAAAAGTGGCCTCTGCTGACCGAAAAGCACTTGAAAATGCTGTGCACACTTTTATTTCGCTCCTCTTTTTAGCTGATTTTTCATTATGAGCCAGCTATCAGTGTCCTTCGGGAGTGCGAGCAGACAAAAAAATTTATGGCTGTCACAATTTTTAATTATGTTGCTCTACGCTTGCCATTGCGATATTGAAACCACAAAGGTATCATAAATTGCCGAGCCCGGGCACGACTGAGACCATAACAAATAAAAAACATTAAAAGACAACAAGCAGATTGGCAACAAAAGGCGGCCCAGAAAGTGGCTCGCACTGCCGCCAGACATTGGCCAGCAGCAACAGCAGCGACAGCAGAGCTCAAGTTGGCCAAACTAAAAATCTGCTCATTAAGGACCGCAACAAAGGAGCGGACCCTTTCCAGATGATGCTGGCCAGGAAATTCAAGATGAACAAAACAAAGGCCCGCCCGAACAATCCCGTTCGGCTCGGGCTCAGCCTGAAAGGCAATTGCAACAAATTGCGGCTGCTTATTAGGGGTTCCAATGCGACTGGATTCAGAGAGTTAGATAGAGGGGAGGCGGAGAGGGGCGCTAGACGGGTTAGATTGTGCGCTTGTAATGAGCTATTCGAGCGCGTGGATGTACGCGCATATTTTATTGCCACTTTGATGAGCAGCTGCCAACAATTTTAACCTATATATATTTTTTCTCCGCCGTTGCACATTTTGTTGCGCCTTTGTAATTTGCGCAAAAAAAGAAAAAAAAAAATAACAGAAATGGGGAGATGCATTGCCACAGGCAGCTGCAAGTTGCATGCGCTCAGTCATTAGTGGGCAAATGTGGCACGATATGTGCAGCGCTTACTTCATGGCTTTTAGAGCACCAACTAATTGCAGGCAGCCAGGCAGCTGGGCATCATGGGCATCATGGGCAGGAGCTGCAGCAGAGACAGGAGCCAGCTCCAGTGAGTGCCGTGCAAACACGCTTAAGACAATTTAGCAAACATGAAACGAGACACAGACAAGGGGCATGCCTTTGCATAGGTTGGTGGCAGGAGCGGGAGCGAGGCCGGGGCGGGGGCGTTGGCGGAGGCTTTGCTAGCTGGCCAAACAAACATTTCCGTAAATTACACGCATTTGTCAAAACGAAACAATGCGCAAAGTGTTTATTTGTTTTAGTGAGTGCTTTTGAGCGCAAAAATGACTCAACACAAAAACTGCAGCTAGAAGGCAGCCCAGACAAATACAGTCAACAGCCCGCCCTCCCAACCCCTGCCGTATGTGTATGTGTGTGTGTTGGGAAAATGTAGCAACTTCTAATGGGTTTGCTTGTTGTTGAGATCATTGTTGTTGTTGTTGTTGCTGTTGCCTGCTGCACTCACGCGCGAAATGTAGAACAGCGATTATGCAACCACATGCAATGACAATGCAGCATCGATCCGGGGCTCTAACCACAATAAACGCGCGCACACACACACACACACACACCCACACACTCACACAAATACACACAGGAGAAAGCGCCAGCCATTGCGCGCGTGCTATGCGGCGTATGCGCAATTTGTAATTTTCATTAACGCCTAAAAGCAGCAATTATTATTTTTTTTTTTTTTTGCGAACAGCGCTCTTCTTATTTTTAGATTTTTGTTCCGGCTGCTTTGTAATTGTGCATCGCTGAGTTTTGCATTGAATTAAGCTACAGTTTTTTAACCACAGACCACATAGCCACATGCTGTCCATGTTAAACCACCAAATGACACTGGTTTAAAATCTATCTGAATTTAAATCTTGCCTGAAGCGAAAGCTACATCATAGTCCTTAACTGCTTGCAGTTCGTTGGCGCTTTCAGTTTAAAGTCAACGAAATTGCGTCTAGTATTTGTATAAAGCAAGTCGAAGCTTTTCAAGATGTTTTTCATTTTAAGTGTTGTACAATTTGTAAATATTGGCATATTTGTCCGTACTACATGAGTTTAATAGATTTTGTTAGGAGCTTTATGTCAACTTATTGGATAAAACAATAAAACTCAATTAAAGTTGACATGATCTATTAAGGCTATCTTGAAGAGATGCTTATAAGCTTTAGTGTTGGATAGCTCTAACAAGTAAAAGTACATATATTATGCTTTAAGTCAACTATGTGTTATTTAAGCATAATATAAAG